AGGTAAATAGATAAATAAATTGTGGTGCATACAGACAATGGAATATTTTTCAGTACTAAAAGGAACTGAGCTATCGATCCATGAAAAGACACAGAACATCTTAAATGCATAATGCTGAGTGAAAGAAGCCAATCTGAGAAGGCTACAATTCCATCTATATGACAGTCTAGAAAAGGCGAACTATGGTGACAGTGAAAAGACCAGAGGTTGCCAAGGGTCGGTGGGGAGGGAAGAACGAACAAGCGCAGCACAAAGGATTTTTAGGGTGTGAAACTACCATAACAATGGATACATGTTATGATATATTTGTCAAAACCCACAAAAGGAACACTACCAAGAGTGAACCTATGGACTTTTGGTGATAGTGATGTGTCAATGTAGGTTTATCCATTGTCACAAACTTAACACTGGTGGGGATGTTGATAACAGGGGAGGCTATGCATGTGTGGGGACAAAGAGTCTATGGAAAGCCTCTGTACCTTGCCCCTCAACTTTATTGTGAACCTAAAAGTACTTAAAAAAAAATAGTCCTAAAGGAGTAACCGGGTGATAAGAAAAAAAAAATGAGAGGGGAAAAATTGCATAGTCGTCAATTAAACAAAAATGAATGACTATTATTTCTGACAATAGTAAAAGTCTTTTAGTGAAGCTGACAGCCAGAGAAGACAGTTCTGACAAGGGTTTTTCTGTGACACTTTAAAATTCGTGACAGAAGATATTTGATCACCCATGTTTTTCTCTATTTGTTAAGCAGGCAAAGTTTTAATAAACAGCTTTGAAAAGCTGGATTTATCTATCTACGTATCTGCCTACAAATGAAAGCGGGGCATATTTTAATAATTACTAGATGTAATATTTCTGTCTTGATTCTTTTATCTTGTATTTCTGTGAACTTTCTTAACTGTAATTCTGTCCTTTGTTCAGGGGGAGTAGCAGAATTCCATTACATATCATTGTCTGAATTTCTCTTATGGAGAAGTGGGACTCTGAGTGCTGGGCTGGGAGTGAATGAATTTTGTGCACCAAGCCTCTAGTAAATAAATAAAAATCTACCAAATGTGCATCTAAACATATACACTTATACCTAGAATACTCTAGGAAGGGTAAAAAGAAGCTGGTAATGGTGTTTGTCTCTGGAGTAGGAAATTGGGCAGCTATAAAACCCTATCACCTTCTTGAAATATTTGGTACTTTAGTGCTATGTGAATTTTAGAAATTTAAAAGAAAATTAAAAGAAAGAAAAAAAACCCATATGTATTTAAGTTCCAATTCCTCTATTTTTTTTTCAATCAGCTTTTGGTCCTTTCCTTACACATAAAACCCCTTTCCATTGTCAGATTGATATGATTTTTGTTTATTTTGACTTCCTGCCAAAAATGTAGTCTCTCTTATTGCCCTGTTCAGATAACAAATAACTAGAACCTGTTTTCCCACTAAATGTTTCAACACTGACTGTGGTGGAAAACTTTTGCCTTCTTTGCAAAACGTCTCACAATGCTGCTATTAAAGATGTTGTAACTGCCCAGCTTGGCCCTGCTTTCAGTTAGGTGAAGGTTTGTTTATAGAAAACCTTGAATTAAGATTAGGGTTTGTAACAGAACAGTTATCAGTCAAGCATTGAGTCTAGACATTTATTTGAACACTGATCCCTTCATGCAGGTTCACTCAGATAAGCTCAGTGCTTTTCTCAGTTTTCAGCTTCCTTCTTCTAACTTTCACCTGCACAAATGGATTTGTTTCTTCTGGGAGTGAAAAGATATGGAGGCAACACAATGGATCGAGACAGTCTTCTCAACAACAGAAAGGACAGGCCCAGAGAAAAGGCACAGATCGGATGACTTCCAACCTCTCTCCCAGCCTAACCTATGCATGTAAAATATTTGCTTATGTTGTCTCGGGTTTAGCGAAGCATGGTTTGCAGATTATTCCCATGGTTACATGACAACTGTATGTGTTAATTTATATATGTTGACACTAACTGATGACAGGTGGCCGATGTGCAAAGGCCATGGTATTTAAACAGTTAGGAGGGAAGTGAGGACATGAAGGAGCTAATGAACATTTTAAAGCTGGTCAAGTTCATGATCTGGTGGCATCAATTAACTACCTCAGCACTCGTATAAATGTTTATAACAGTCATGTGAGTTCCTGAGCCCTTATTTACGTAATCAAAGGTTAAGAGCATTAAGTAGTGGGGGGAAAGTGGATGTGAGGTGAGAACTCTGAGAAACCTTAAAATAATTGCTATTACAACATTAGTGGATGGGGACAAATAGACTACTAGACTGAAACTAATTCTGCAATGAGGAGGACAGAGTATTGGGAGAAAGTCAAGCAGAGAGAAGTGTCAGATATGACAAATCAACAAGCTATAGACAATTTTAATAGAATAACAAAGGAAACATGAGTTAGAATTCTGACACCTATAATTCAAAGCACTGAGAGCAAAAATTAACCATGCTAAATAAATAAACTACATGTCATCATAATGGTAACGTTTTATTTTACATGGTCCGAAACACCAATTCTGAGGATTGCTTATGAGTTATGTAGGAAGCAATAAATAAGAAAAACAACAAAAACAAAAATGAGAGAGCATCTGTAAGAGCACAGCTCAACGATGGCATTTATATTGATGGGGCCAGTTTAACTCACCTGTGTAGTAGGTGGTTTAAAATTGAGAACATTTTCATACTAAATAAACTCCTTATTCAATTTGATACAAAAATAGATTATGAATCAAAAGAAATATTTTCCTTATATACTTAGTCTTTTTTTATACTGGTCATTGATTCATCACAGGGACAAATTTTTGGTCAAATGTGCTTACCTTGAAATAAACACGTCTTAGTCACATATGCTTTTATACATATTAAATATTTTATATGCCAGTTAAAAGAGAAAGAAATAAAGGGAAAATACAGACAATTCTTTTATGTTTTTGTTTTTATGATAGCAGGTAATGAAGATGAAAAAGATCCAATAGGGAGGGTAAAGGCCATGATGCAGGGGAGAAAGGACACTGAAGGCATGAAAGCCTAGAGCAGTGGTTCTCAACCTGTGGGTTGCAAACCCTTTGGGGGTCGAACGACCCTTTCACAGGGGTCGCCTAAGACCATCGGAAAACACATATATAATTGCATATTGTTTTGTGATTAATCACTACGCTTTAATTATGTTCAATTTATAACAATGGAAATACATCCTGCATATCAGATATTTACATTACGATTCATAACAGTAGCAAAATTATAGTTATGAAGTAGCAACAAAAATAATTTTAAGGTTGGGGGTCACCACAACATGAGGAACTGTATTAAAGGATCTTGGCATTAGGAAGGTTGAGAACCACTGTCCTAGAGGAAACCCGAGGGGATAGGTCCACTGGGTTAGGAGAGAGGTTATCCTTAATAAGAAGCAGGAACCACTAGCCGAGTTATGTGGCTAGAGATTCAGGTAGGTTGGTAGATTTGGTGCTGAGGGTGTGTGCATTTGCTGATTGTGTCTATTTTCTCAATGAAATGATGGGAAAGGATGTTAGCTGAGAGTTAGGAGATAAGAGAGAGTGAGGTATGAGGAGAAAGAAGAAGATGTGAAAGAATCCTTTCAGAGACGTACTTAGGAATTGAGTTCATCAGCCAGGAGTAATTATAATGAAGGACTCATGGAAACTAAACCAAGTGTGAGCTTGATCGACAGTGAAAAGGAAGGTGGTGGTCAGATCAATAGCTTGGAGATCCTGGTGGCATCAAACATTTTTCAGAGAGTTCCAGTGGGAGTGGGCTGTGAGCGAGGATGTGAGAGTTGGAAAACAGTAAGCCTGAAATTCAGAAGATGAAGTCATTGGTAATGGCAGTTCTGGGGTATGTCCTCAGAGTGAGATAGGTTCGAGGAAAGATGACTGGGCATGAGCAAGGCAAGGAACTGAGTGAGAGGCTTGGAGGCTATGTGGACCACTTGCCTGAATATTAAAATCAACTCAAATTTATGTCTGCATTATTGGGGAGGGGGAGATAAAAGGGGAGGGGAAAGAGGAGAGGAGAGAAGAAGAGTGAAGAAGAGGGGAGGGGAGAGAACAGTGGGCTACGTTCTAAATTTTTCAAAGAACAGAAGTGATTGGTGGGACTGCAACATAGGGAGGGTAGGTAGTAGTAGAGTCTGATGCCATGTACATTTAAAATTAGTATTTTAAGAGATATATAAATGAAAACATTGTTGATAAGCATTAATATCTGCCAGAATAGAAGTTACATCACATGCAGCTAGTTTATATTAAATAAAAGACAACACACCAAAAATTATTTGATATACTTAGCAATGGAACTAGAGAGCAAATTTTTATCATGACTTTGAATGTTATTCCACTCTTATGGAACCAGTAAGAAATTTCCAGCCATAACCAGTTTGGCTCAATGGATAGAGCGTCAGCCTGCAGACCCAAAGGTCCGGGTTTGATTCCCGCAAGGGCAAGCAGGTATAGAGGTTGTATACCAATCGATATGTTTCTCTCACATCCATGTTTCTCTGTGTCTTTTTTCCCTCTCTTTCCACTACCTCTAAAAATCAATGGAAAAATATCCTTGAGTGAGGAAAAGAAAGGAAGGAAGGAAGGAAGGAAGGAAGGAAGGAAGGAAGAGAGAGAGAGAGAGAGAGAGAGA